TTTTTTTGTTGACTTTTGCAATGTCTTTGGTGATTAGCACCAAATCTACGAGTTTTGTTCCTGCAAACAATCAAGAATAAGATGTTCTGGTGAGGACACAACAATATATTCTGCATACTGGCTCATTAAGCACTTCAAGGATCTGTTGTGTATTACACAATGGAGGAAGTATCGAAACAGTAAATGCAAAAATGAGCGATTATTTCTTAAATCATGAGTTTGGCAGATAATTGTGGCCTTCTTATTTAGTTTTCTATTAAAAAAAATATATTCTAAAAGATTGTCATTCAGCAAAAATCCTCTCACGTCTTTATGGGAAAGACATTTTCTTTCTCATGTTGCCCAGTGATACCGGTCCTCAACAACATATATGTCAACTGTATTAGTGAGAAGGAGTAAAATTAAGCTTTATATTTCACAAATATTGCAGCATTCATTATTTCATCCACTGTGAGAAAACCACAGGGTGAGCCAAACAAATTCAAACAAAAAATGTCCATTTGGCAAGGAAATTTCACAAAAACATTTTTTTTTCCTCAGAAAATTATTATAAGTATAAGTATGAGGTATGTTAAAGTGATGCTGTTTAAATTGGGGGCTTCTTTATTGCTGGGGGGCATCTCATATAGGACACATACATTCATATTATGTGAACATGTTGTGTTGCTTCCATGACCGAGGTAAACAACAACAACCAATGGGGGATCTATCCTAAAACTCGGGTGAACCTGAGTCTCATTGGGATTTAATAGGATCCTGCCCAAGAGACTGAATATTATATATCTGTGTAAGGGTAATGTTGTCCAGATCTGGGTATGTGTGTGTGTGTGTGTGTGTGTGTGCGTCTGCTGGGAGTTCTCTGGACGTTGTTTTGTCTGGATGATTGCAGCTTGTGCTGATTTAACTTATGTTTGACCCTCAGATGTTGGTATGTTTGTCGGTCTGAGTGTGTTTCTTCTTCACCCTCATGGCCATCCAAGCATGCACATGAGCCGTGTGTGTGTGTGTGTGTGTGTGTGTGTGTTCCCCACAAAGAGCGAAAAATGTGTTTGGAAAACTCTGCCCACGCCATCAGCCAGCCGACATCTCCCTCTTCCTCCTGAACCTGACATTCTTTCCTCTGCCGTAGTTCACGAGCGGTTTCAGATAAAAGGCCTCATTCATTACTCTTACTGAGAACTCAGCGTAATGACAGGATACCCCACCCTTGTCTGGCAACAACGGCCGCCATATTTTACCCGGTGCTGTTGGCCCACACATAGAAAATACAGGCCTGTAGTTCAGAATGTTTTCTGCTGTTGGTAAGTTTCTTTTTCATGGGTTCAATGTACATGGTAACTCTTGTATACGGAAGGCAGCAGAAAAAGCTTGGGGTTTTCCAGCTTTAATTACCCCTCACCAGCCTGCTTTGTTACCGCCTGTACTTTCTTTCTCTTTCTCTTTTATGGTATTTGGCTTCTACCTCCCCTGCTGAGTTAACAGGACTCAGCCTCACAAGCCCTCGCTGCATGTCTGTAATGAGGCAGCTGCTTGTTTACAGATGTGGAGCCTATGTGATATACATGCGGGCCGTCCTCCTCCCCCTGCAGTTCTCTTGCTTTCTTCCCAGCTGCAGTTTTAGGAAAATCCTCCCCCTTCTTGACAGACAGAGACAGAGGGTTTCTTCCTTCATGGCCAGTCTCCGTGTGTTGTGTGAGTTTTTTAATCACACCGATACCACTCAGGTGCTGTACCGCTTAAAGCCTGCCTTTTTATGGTCAAACAGGGAAACTATGCAAACGCCTAAGGTGTGCGTGTTTCCAGTCCTCCCGAACATTGAAGCGGCACCCAGCTTTGATCAATTGGATCTACATGGAAACCGTGGACCATCTCCAAAATCAACTTCTGACAGAACAGCAGAAGGATTGATGCCAGAGAATTTACTCGAGGCTTGTCAGCGATAGTCTGTTTCTTGGACAGTTTTGAAACTGCTAAGGGCCTCCACAGATACCATCAAACTAAATATTTCATAAAGCGTCTCGCTTTCTGGCACAATGCTGCAAATGAAACCCTGGTAAAGACATTTAAATGAATCTGGGGGTCTTTAAGAGGCCAATGAGACCGAGTTAAATTGTTTTTATTGGATGAACTTGACCAGTTTTACTGCAAACCTGATCAGTACAATCACAAAAATGGCATATGCCATTTTATCCAATTACATAAGACAGAATTGTTCGAAGAACGCTGTGCTACTAAACTGACACTTTTCCTAGTTAGCTGAAAGGATAATGCCCCAGGATAAAAAAAAAAAAACATTAATATTTTATTAGCAGAGTTTGTCATAACTTTTTCTTTACTTTAAAAGTCTCTTTTCTCAACAGTGGAAACATGCAAATCTAGACAGAGGTAATCTCAATACAACGCACTGACTGAGAATCTGACTCAGTAATCCTTACACACACTCCAAAGCTCCGTGGTTTAAGTCGCATCTAGATGAAAACTCAGAGGCTGAATATGGCGCCTCTACAACCATCAGAAAAATATCCCACCTACATGAGTGCTGTACAACCAGAGTGGAAACGTAAATGCCCTCCACTGCTGCACTACGCCAAGGCTTTCCATACTGTTGCACACCTGTGAAACAGAAAAAGTTGCATTATTTGGTACACAGCATGGACTTAAACTGTTTTTTCCCCACTAGCAATCTTTAAAACTTTTACATTTTGATTGCTGATGGAGGTAAAACTCCCAATCACTTGGGATTCCATATAGCAGCTGGACAGTGAGGAGTGTTTACAAGACAAAACGTTTTATTCCACTGCTGTGCACACCGGACAGGAATGTGGGAGTACAGTGAAAATTCAGCAGCAGGCGTGTTAAAAGTGAAACACGTATGGTTTGTGGGAAACTAATTCCTCAAGCTTATCAGAGCATGAAACTAAGTGGAAACCATGTGTTCTGAGGGCCTTAAAGCAGGCAAACATCCAGGCCATCTGTGACCTTCCGAAAAACGTCACCATTTCATAAGTTAGCTGTTGAGGGTGAAACTGTGACTGAGTGTGTTTGTGGTTAAAAGGCAGGGGGATTCCACATGCTCGAACTTGTATGTGATTTCAGTATTTCTCTGTGCACTGTGACTTTTTGGTTAACCTGACCGGGAACTTTTTTTTCTTTTTTTTTTTACAGCAGCTGTATCAGTAAAACAGGAGACATTTAAATATAACAACGGTTTTACAGAATTCAGAAACATCTCTAAGAGGCTGGAGTGCATTAAAGTTATCTGAGAGTGAACAAAGACAGAAGCTCCATATTTCATGTTAGTGGACTAAGGTTTTGAACTAAAACATCTCTGACGCTGCAGTGAATGACCATCAGCAACACAATTTCATCAGCATCCCACTGATTGTAATTGTGTTCTGTACTCGTACACACAAGTATAAATTGCATTTCTGTTTGACTTCAGGTCAGTACAGCTGAACCCCTGAGTGTGCTCCTGCTCTCTTTGATTGCATCATGATTGAAGGGCTCAGTGGGTCATTGTGACTGCGTCTGAAACAAACAACCAGTAGCAGCCTGTAGTTTTCCACTGATTTTGATGAGTACGTAGCCACGAGAACTCCAGCACAGCATTGCCTCTCAAAGCTTTACACACACACTTTTTCAGCCGATAGACTGGTCCTGTTTCATACCTGAACAAACACTCTCAGACTAGCTCACACATGTACAGAGTCAGGTGATTTACTAGGCTGTTATAAACAGTCTTTCTCTCCTTTCTCTCCCGTCTCGGTCGTCCTCCCTCTTTCTCACACACACACACACACACACATTGTTTTCCAGCCGGAGCTGAGACACAAAGCAGTAAAGTAATCTCTTTTTACACATGGTACCCGAGACTGTCTAACACTCTTTCAGAGATAAAGTCTACAGAACAATAGAATTTTGTTTCCTTCCATGATCAAGATTTGGAATTTTGATTTTTTTAAAAAGTGTTCCTAACTGTTTTTCCGTGGATTAAACATGAATACTTTTCAGATTTCACAAAGGTTTTTAAATAAGTTGAAAGTCAAGCTTTTTTCAGTTCTAAAAAAGAAACTTGGGGGGAAGGGGGATTAGAGACAGAAAAACAGACATAAAGGGAGTAGGCCTAACAGAGATGGGGGTTGACATGAAAGTAGGAACCACAGCTGGTTTGACATGCTAATTCCTCCAGGCCTGCAGGGCAACCTGTTGGAGCTCATAGCTGTTTTGTGTCTTTGTTTGGGGGAAACTTTTTCCATTTCATTGTTACAATTTGCTCTAGTTTTAGTTGTTTCATTCCTCTTTCTTTGTCATGTAGGCCTATTTTATTCATACGAGCCCCAAAAGATTTGAACAGTAATTTATCTTTTTTTATTGAATCCGATTTGTAATTGTTATTTTCAGCTATTTGGTAAAGGCTTTCTGGTGTCAGCTCAGAAGGTATTTCTGTGGGTCTGGGTGTATCATCCTGCCGTGCAGAGAAACACAAACACTTCGAGGCGCTTTGCGCCGCTTTTTCGTTTGTTTTTTTTAGAGCCGCTTGCTTGTGTTTTTCCCCTCCCTCCCTCCCCGGCGCAGGCTGCTCGCCATAATTCCGAGAGCACCGGAACGTCCCACCATTTCACGCCGAGCAGCGCTGTTTATTTCCAGCCCGGTGACGCGGGGCTGCAGCCCTCCTATATGAGGCCCGTCAGCGCGCAGCCGGCCGCGGATTGGACGGCCCGGCCGCCGTAGCTTCCTATGACGGAGCCTCGAGGAGGGGGGCGAGGGGGGGATGGAGCGCTGTATAAAAGCCTCTGCGCTCTCAAAGAGTCCCACTCTGGAGAAGGAAAGCTGGCAGCGAGGGTTGGTCGACGTCTCCGCAAGGGATTCCCAACCCCCTGTATTTACCAACAAACGAGCGTCCAGTTCGCCATCGCCGTTCCGTCCAAGACCACGGACCCCTCTCTGACAAAGCTCCCCCTCTACCTCGACCAATAAATGCCAAGAATAGCGTCAGAAGCGCCAACAGATAAGGATCACGAAGCGAAGACGAACGGTCGGACCGACACGTAGAAAAAAAAAAAAAAAAAAAAAAAAAAAAAAAAAAATCGCCCGGATCGTCGCCGCTGCCTTCCTCAATGCATCCTCTCTGTGCCCGGGGAACCATGAAACCAGAGATCACCGCCGCCGTGGGGTTTCTGTCGAGATTTCTGAGGGTAAAAGGACACGTAAACGACCGACAGGTCCAAACGTTCAGCCAAAGCCTTCAGGATATTTTGGCAGGTAAGGAAATTAAAAAAAAAATTCTCTATGCGCCAAATGGCGTCTGTGAGTTGTTCACACCGTAAACCTCTTTACGGGCACGAATTTAAGCTTTGTTCTTCTGGGAAGAGCTTAGAATTGGGGTTGGAATAGACTTAAGAAGAAGGCTTTCTTTGTTCTCCCGAGTGTCGCTATCAGCGGACAGACGCGCACGGCCGTTTGCGCGCGTCCCCGAGGAGCGGAGACCTCCGCGGGCGCGCGCCCGGAGCCGTCCGTCGACGATTCCGCTAAAATAGAAACGCAGAAATGAACAAAAAGAGCCCATTTCGGTGTAGCGATCGGTTGTTGTTTGACGGAAGGTGGGGGAGGGGAGGAAGGGAGACGCTCAAACAAGGAAGTGCGCGTTCAGAGAACAGGCTCTGAGCAAAACAACCCCAGAGAGGCAGGGCCGCGGAATTACGTAATGCCATGGAAGAAACGGGTTAGGGACCAATCAGAGCCGCTGTAGTCTTCTTTTACTTAGGCTTTTAGTACATTTTTGTAAAAAAAAATCCAAATCCAAATGGACGACTTTTGTTTTCTATATTCCTTTTTTTTATTTCTAAGTTGTCTTTCAAAGAGCGTTATGGCTCTCTTTGACATGGAGAATTAAGATTTTTTTCGCTACTCATTACAAATGTTTTTTACAGTAATTTGGGTTTCCTGTGGAGGGATGGGGGGTCTCAGCCAGACCTGCTGTGGGTGTTGGAGGGTTTTCACAGAACAGGGCGGCTTGTGTCTCGTTTCCTGCCGTGAACGCATTCCAGGCTCAGGCTCTAAAGCTGCCTTACAGCTGCCTCATTCCAGTTACGTGCACCAGCAGATGACCTACATTTCCTACGGAAAGCCCTGCTCCTGGTGGGAGAACTGTGGTGTTTATCCCACACCGAACAAAAGAAATGGAAGAAATGTTCAATGGAAAGGAGCAGGTTTCTCCGTCCACAATTGTTTGTTCGCGTTTGCAAAAACAATGCAAACAAATAAGTGTGAAGGGGGAAAAAAGTGCTCAGTGAAGAATTGCAGTGTTTGTAAACAGACAATAGTTACTTCACTGGGGGCCCCTGTGGGGGAGGGGAGATGTTTTGGTGGCCTCTTTAGGCAAATCTCCACCGAAGACACGGCTAGGGTTTTTGTCTTGGGCAAAGAATAAGGCTGGAACTTTGGGGAATATAAACTCAAGTTGTTTTTTTTAAACAAATTAAGCTCTTAGTTTATATTAAACAAAATTATTTCTTAAAATCCGATTTGAGGTGGAATGTTTACTTGCATCCCATAAGGCCACAGCTCACCCAGTATTGTTCTGTAGTGGTCTATATAAGACCGACCCGTCCTAATGGTCAGATTACAGCCGTTGCGTAATTTTTGTTGTGTTCTTACAGCTTGGATCTGATCTTAAGCCCTTTTTTTTTATAGAAAGTTGCTTGAAATGGAAAATGCCCAGCACTGGCCCGGCTGGCTAAAGCGTTCCCACGTAATGCGCCTTTGGTACTGGAGGTCAGCGGCGATGAATAAACAACCCTCTTTGCTTTAACTCTTTAGGGTTAAGCGCACACTTGTCTGCTTACTTTCCCGTTCCCTCCCCTCCTCCTCCCATGTGCCCTCATTTTAAGAATAGGCCCTGCTGAGCTGATCATTTCCCAGCTGCTCCGGGGTTTGTGGGCAGCTGCCTTTGTGGCTGAAAGCTGGTCCAGCCCATCGTGCTCTTTCACAAGTGCCAGCCCCTCCATTAGCCCGGCAGTGTCCAGCTGTCTGATAAGGAGGGGGGGGGAGGGGGGGGGGGGTTATTATCCTGTGGATGCATACAGGTGGCCTCCGGGCCTCGGACTGAATGCTGGCCTACTTCCCCTAACCCGTTTTTCGCTGTTGTGTTCCAAGGGAAATTTGTGTGGAGGAGCTTGGAGTAAATGTGATTGGTAGATTAACGGGTAGGAACAAAAGGGATCTGAATCTGGGGGATAAAACGTGATAGAACTATCTAACCGTGCTTAAAGTAGACTTGTTGCTAAGCAAACTAACAAAAGGATCACATTTTATTTTTCCCCTGTAAATGATATGCACACTTTATGAATCCAATCACCATTGTTGTTGGGTCTGTAAAAGGCGAAAGGGGAAAAATAGGTTCTTCTCCCTTTAAGAGGTGGAGCTTTTTTCTGTTGGTGTGTGGGGGATTTTTGGGTGGTTTTTTTTTTTTTTTTTCCTCCCCCAAACGCGTCACAGGAGGCTTTTTGGCTCTGAGGAAGGGAGGGGGGAGGTATTGTGCAATTCATCGACAGTCTTTTTGTCACGTACACCCATTTGCTGGTTGTCTGGGGCAAGTGGCTGTGTTTTTGTTTTGTTTTTTCTCTTCATCAATCATTTAGGAACACAATCGAGTAGTTTATTTATTTTAAATCCTAATTTTTTGTAGCGCAGTTAATCATGGAATTCCCTTTTGTCCTGCTGCATTAGATATTAATATCCAAATTTTGATTTATGTTTACCTACTCATAAAAGAAAGCATATTACATGATTTTTGCTGACTTTTCAGACTCTAAACTGATTCTACTCAAATTAAAACTTTGCCCCCTTTCTTTCATTTTTCCCCCTTGCAGAGAAATACATAAACCACTGGTTTCCGGACCGGCCCTGCAAGGGCTCGGGTTACCGCTGCATTCGCATCAACCACAAGATGGATCCCCTGGTGTGGCAGGCAGGTCAGCGCATCGGCCTGACCATCCAGCAACTCTACCTGCTGCTGCCCAGCGAGCTCACTCTCTGGGTGGACCCCTTCGAGGTGTCCTACCGCATCGGCGAGGACGGCTCCATCTGTGTCCTCTACGAGTCCCAGCCGGGCCCCGTCGGAATGCCAATGTCTGTGGGCGCCAGCTCCGCCTCAGGAAGCTCCATGATGGAAAGCCACCTCAGCTGCAAGGATGAACTGAGGGTGCTGGGCAGAACTAGCCCCTCCAAAGCCTACAATAATATGATGACTGTGTCCAGTTAAAGTGGCACACAGTCACCCCAGCCTACTTTTTGTTCAGGGTCACACCGTGGCTGGTCAGATCATGGTGAGCCTTTTTAAAGCTAAGAAAATGAAATGAAATTGTGAAATAAGAAAACAAAAAGCAAAAGAGAAAAAAAAACAAAAAACAGAGGATGTGGCCTATCATCCAGGTGATGGAAACCTAGTAGTTTATTTTTGGTTTATTTTTTTTTAACTCTCTTTACCCGTTATCTGTTGTGTTGTCATTGGATCAACTGGGCACTCCGTTTTTTTTTTAGGAGAGGCTATGTGGAAATGGAACTGTTGGGGCAGCTAATCCAGCCAATCAACCAACCAGGAAACCCCCATTAGACTGGCTCCACCCCCTCCCATCCCCCACCCCACCCTCAGCTGTAATCAACTTTGTGTTCAGCTCTGGCTCTGAAGGGGATATCAGCATAGACTTTGCACTTTTATGACTTTTCGAAACGCCACTTAAAAAACACCACAGTAAATTATGAGGATCTATTTCCAGGAGTCTTTATGAATTAGATTTTTCTTTCCCCAGACTGGGACAATTCGAGCTCAAGGTAAAGAAACCCCAAATGAGAGCGTCTCTATTTTCTATAAAAGCATTTTTGGACCACAGGAAGATTATTTTCTTTATCTTGTAGCCTGGGGAGGGGGGTAAAGAAATACTTCAGGTCTAGACTTCTCTTCCTCTCCCTTTCTAAATTTGTTTCCCTTTTGTCCCCAGTAAGTTTTAGAACATCTCCATCTCAACATTCTGTCTACCTGTAAGTGCAACTGAAACCCCGTTGCCCTTCCATTAACCACGCGTGTAGCTTTCTTGGGGAGGGAAGGGTTACCATTTCCTTCCCCTCCATCAAGTTAATGAATGTTGTTGAAGTTCACAATCAAGTTCCTGTGTTGTTGATTTTTGCCCCCTTTTACCCACCACTTTGTCATCTCCCGTATTACCAAAACTCAAAGTGTAGCAAAGGGGGGTGGGGGTTCCAAAATTTGGGTCATGTGGCCTAGCTAACGTTGACATTGAATGCACTTTGATGTGAGATTGTGTGGGATGTGTACTTTTTTTTTGTTTTGTTTTTTGGAGAAAATCGCCTGCATTCCATCCATTCGAATGTCATCTTTTTTTGCAACGTTTTCCCAGTTTTAGCCAGGTCATACTGTAGCTCCCACCTCTATTGCATTGGGAGTGTGCAACTCTGGATTTTCAAAACCTTTTAAACACTGTATTTGTGAACATTTCGGAGCCGTTTCTTTCTCACTTTTTGCTTTAAAAAAACAAACAAACCGATGTGGAGGTATTTGCGGGTGGTATGTTAGAAGCCTTCGGTCATCCGTTCAAATGGCACTGTGGACTCGGGCAGCGCTCCACTGCCCAATCCTTTGACACGTGGGTGGCGATCTGTGTTGCTGATCTGAAGCGAGGAAAGAAAGGTCTGTCCTAAGTGATGACGTTGTGAGGCCAAAAAAGGAGGTGTGCGGCACGACTGTTCAGGTTAATTTCGATCTAAACCAGCTGGCCTTTTTCAGCCTTCTGTTGTCATGGTTTTCTAAGGTTGTGTCAAAGGGACTTTGTGTAAGCTGAAAGTCTACGGCCGGGGGCTGGTGAACATCAGACTTGGAGAGAGCCTTCCTGGTGCATTGTGCTGCCTGGACCCTCAGGCAGAGGTGTCCTCTTTCCAGCCTGGCAGCTTTTAACCCCCCCCCCCCTCCCTCATCCCAACCCTGCTGGTGTGAGGGTTAGTGCCTCAAGTGCTGCCTATCGCCCCTTAGCTCAGACCTCCTGTTCAGCCAAAAGCAGGCCAGCATGCTGCTAGCTGACCCCCTGTGGATGCAGGTAGACTTAATGTGACACATATCATCATTCATCACGGCGGGGAGTCGGGTCAGGACGGCTGTGGTGGGGAGCTCGTGTGAAAGAAGGGGGGGGCCAGGGCCGGACTCTTTTCAGTCCAGGGCAGCTAAAATCCCTCCAGCCCCCCCTCTCTGGACTCGTCAAACATCCCCCCCACCCTGACCAGAAGCCCTCAATCCTCCCTTAGCCGTGATGAATAACCAGCACACGCGCTTGGCGTGCTCAAGCTGCATTTAGGGGGGTCGAGAGGGAGACGAGGAAACCGTGGATCAAAGCCGAAGATTTGAGGGTACTAGGCCATTGTTTTCATCTCACTGGATTGAGCTTCACTTGATTACTGAGTTCGAGTAGCAACTTTGTTTACATGCCTATGGAAGGATGCGCCGGCGGTCTGACGCGCCTCCACCTGGCCCCCGGCGCCGGCGTGGGTTGGTTAGCTCCGTGGTGGAGCACACGCTGGAACGGCTGAGGGTGTTGCTCAGGCCTCAGCTGCTGGCCAAATCCGTCACGGTAGGCTGGTTCCCGGCTCATCACCAGACCGATGGGTGTTTAAGCTCCACTAAGCCTGAGAGGATCATGGGTAATATAGCTATAGCATTTGATGCACTGCAGCCCCTAAACCCCTCCCCCCCCTCCCCTTCCCTCCCTCCACCTGCTCTCTGCTGATACTCCCTTCAGCAATCTGTGAAAAGCAGCGATTCCATGTTGCTCAGATGGACAGGAGCCTGCTGGGATGGGAGCCCACAGCTTCAGTTTCCATGGTGGAGACCAGCTTTGAAACCATGCTGCTCCATAATAGCTTTTTAATGTCATGCAACAAGATGTTTTGAGATTGGTCTATACTTCAGATGTGAGATGATCGTCTCGCTCTTCTCTAGATGTTTTTCATAGTCACACTGGTAGATGTTCTCATCTTTCCACTTGGCCCAATTTTCTTTTCTTTATCTCCCATGCGAGGAGAATTTTTAATCTGATGGTCCAGCCAACTTTTAAACAGACCTAATTTTTGATCTATTAGAAAAAAATGAATTAATTACAAATCCCCTTTAACACATTTTCCATTGTGATACCACCACCAAAAAAGATTTTAGTAATATTGATTATTTAAATGGCATCCATTCAGCTTGTTCGCACGTAGAATACAGAATTGTTGTGAGAGTGCTTTGAGTATTCAGAGGTAAAATAGCACATAAATGCACTAAATGTCAAGTTAAAGTTGTGACTTTTTTTTTCTTTTCTTCTTGAGACGCGAGGAGTCTCTCCTGGAATGTATTGCCAAACTCAGGCCTCGAACATTCAATAAATAACTTATGGAAAAGTTGTACATGTTAAGACATGGAAACGGAAGGGAACAGCAGTTTTGTTATCAGTAATTGTCATAATTGATAAGCTGAATTATTGCCACTTTCACATTTGAAGTGTTTTACATATTGTAGAATGTATTGTAACTGTACAACAAATGGTAGAGTGCATAACATTACACATGGGAAGTGCCAATAATTGCTATCCTGAGGTGTTTTTAGACTTATTCTCTTTTTTGTGTTTCATCTTTTAACATGGGTAACGCTTTTCATAAGTGAAGCCATTTGTGATGGAGTGCAGGCAAGGACCAAAGTTTTGGTTGGAAAAAGAAAAAATAGTTTCCATGATCTGTAAGTGTAGACGTATCCTTTTGTTTTTTTTTTTGTTTTTTTTTTTCCTTTTTGTTAGTTTTCTTTTCCCTTTTTTTCTATTTACATACAAAACAAGAAAATAGACAAAAAAATCTGAGCTTACCCAAGAAGAAAAGCTGTCTTGTGATCTCATGTCAGTACATCTTTATCGTGTTCAGTTTCTTTTCCTTGGGTATGTTGTGATGAACTGCTGTAAATTTGTACAGTTCATGTAAATTTGATTGTGCGGAAGTTGTACAGATTTCTATATTTTGGAAGAAGTTTTTTTTTTTCTCTGTAATAAAAGATTTCCTATCTTGGCATCATATTAACTGTGATCTGTCGTCATTTATCTAGTATGCAGTGCTCAATGATGGCTTTATGATGCTGCATCACAGGCAGCCATTTTATGGAGGCTGATGTAGTCCATTATATGAATAAGTTGTAGTTTCATATAGGATCAGACAAGAGTTTGATCAGCAATACTCAAAACGCAGTACTCATTTGGGAAAGCCCCATGCTAGGAGTGGTCTTTTCTCAGTTTGCCTCTGATTCTCAAGGGGTAAGGAGTTGAATTTGGTCCTTTTCTAAAGGGAACATACAAGCGCATTAACCAATGACAGCCCCCATCTGATATTGGCCAGTTCTGAAATTTGATAATCAAATGGTGAATTTTCAGCTGCTGAACACATCCAATCATAGCTTACTTGGCTTGTGGGGAACAACTTTTAACAGTCATACTGGAACATATCAGCTCAGTTTTTCCTTGAAATAGTTTGCTTGCACTGATGAGCAAACTAACTTTATATTAAACTGCTAACTGAAAGGGAATTTTTGGTTGTTTTTGTAGCCATTTCCTTTGAGAAGAACAGTCAGTATTCTCTCTACCATTTCAACATGGACAGATGGTACTGTTAAGTAAAAAAATTGCCAGGCCACCATTCCACGCAACGCTTCTGAAGCCGAAACAACTGACTCTGCAAAACTTTGAATTTGGATTAAGACTGCAATCCTTTACAGCACAGTGAAGCACACAGGTTACTTAGCAGCAGGCCCAAAAAGAAAAACATTTTGACACATGAACAAAGGGAGGAACGAGAGAAGCTGGTTTAGCAGAGTCTGAGGCCACAAAGGAGGGAGGAGGCTGGGTTTGTGTTTAACCCTGCTTTTGCCCTATCACAACACTGCCCAGCATGAAGCCGCAGCAGGAAGTGTAATTGTAAAGTTAAATCATATTTGGGCCCAAATCTTTGCTGAAATCTATTGTTTTGCATACTGGTGAATTCCCTGGTTGTCTTCCTGTGGAATCTGGTCCAAAGATCCCCATGGTGTGGCCAAACTGCATGTGTGTATGAAAACATATTCAAGAGGAGAAAGTGGATAAGAAAAGCCATCGAAGAGAAGCACCCAGACACAAGTGATTCAGATTCACCTGGATGTAGCAATTTTCCCTAGAGAAGATTTTGCATTGGCTCATTTGAGCGAGCTGTTTTGGCATGTTTCTCCTCTGACAAACAAGGAGTGGATCATTGTAGCAGTGCGTGTGCTGACAGCACAAAGTCTCAGTCGGAAACTGTGAAGTAAAATCAAAGCTTATTTAGACAGAAATGGGCTGCCTTTCTTCATTTTAATCGAAACCTACTTTAGGGGATAGTTTTAAAAAAGTGACATTCGTTAGAATTGTATTTTCACTCTGTTCCAGTTCTGTCGCAACTTATGCAAGTGTCATCAGCTAGTTTTGCAAGCGCTGCATTGGAGCTTCTGCTTGGCCCTGATGAAACAGCAGTGTAATGTTTTCTACCCTCCCTCCTGACTCGCATAGCAACAGAGGTCAACGTGTACAGATAGTTAGACTAGGTGGGAAGTTTCAAAAGGTGTGTCTAAACACAATGGAATGATAAGGATTTGATCTGTGTTGCGAATAGGTGAAGAAGCATCAGTGTCGGCAAAGTTACCAACAGCAACACTCAAAAGTATTCTATTAAAACACCTAAATACATGTGTATTTTTCTTGCTGTCATTGTCTACGGTGTTTTTTTAAATGAATTTGAACACTGTAAGCGACATGTTGATATGTGAGGGTGTGTTTGCTCTGGGGAGACAGACGTCTGGGAGTATCGTTACTGCACATGAGATGACAGGGTATAGCCACCCCCGCAGAGCGTTGGTGCTTCTTCTCCACTCTTTAAAGGATTGATCCACACACATCCCACTGCTTTTTGTGAACACACCTCCCACTGACAGGTTTTATGTCTGTTTAAGTGCTACACAACATCTGAAAGTCTTAGGCAGGGGTTAGAATGGGTGTCATGGATCCTGAGATCAAAGACGACTTATTCAAAAATCTTGTCTACAACAATGATAATTTGTAGCAGCAGGAGCTAAATCCACGACAAGTTTCTGAAGCAAATCCATATTAAATGTACATCCAAGTCCGAGTATTTTCTGGTCCAACTAACTGAAGATTGCAGCAGGCTACACTTGTGTGATTGGATTACCACTGTGTTTGTCTCTCATGGGTGTGTGCATCAATCAGAAGCCAAGGACAAGCTGATTCCTCTTTGAAATAGATCCCTGCCATGCCTGCCTCGGTCTCCAGGGTACAAAAGCTGCACCGGCTATCTCTCTCCCTCCCCTCAGGGCACTATTCATCCTCAATACTGACATCTGCTTTGCCCTCTGTACACCCATCCTTCCCAGCGGCATCCAAAAATGGACTATGTATGAAACGGAGGACAGTTGAGACAAAGACATTCAGGCTTGGCAGTCCACCGCCCTAATATCAGGTGGACCGATGAGGGGGGGGGGGGTCTTTGGAGAGGATGTAGTGACAGCTGAAGTGTAGACAGCGGCAACAGCGTGAGTATACTGCTTTTTTATTTCCATCTTCTGACCTTTTTTTTTCTAGGAAAATACAAGAACACATGCATAAATCTGATTTGTTTATACATGTACCACTGCCCCTGTGCACCTTAATCTTTTTATTTTTTTGTTCTAGTGTTCCTGTAAAAAATAAAATAAGACAGAAATTTTGAGAGAAATGGTGAGGGATAGGACAAGTAAGGGCACTGGGTTTGTATTCAATAGTAACTCTAAACTCAAGATATGATTATTGCAAAAAAAGAACGAATGCCAACAGGTCTCATTGGCAGGGAGTACATTGCTAAATCACAAACAGTTCTCCTTAAATGTAAAGCAGTTAATGTAAAATCATATTATAGTCAATTCATACTGAAAGTTTGATTAAACACAACATTTGATCTGAATCTGTCCAGTCTCCATTGTCTACTTTATACCTCCTACTGCAGTTTCTCCATTTTAGCATAAATAGCTAATTTCATTTCCATTTTTATCTCCATACTGTTACATATTCTCTCCGCTTCCATTCCTCTCATGTCACCCACCCTTCTTTAAAGCCTTCCCACCTTAGCCTGTGTCTATCTTTGTACCTTGCTCTCCAGGCTGCTGGTGTCACCAGCCAGCTAACACTTACACAGCAGAGCAGATCATTCCAGACTCTGGCATCATGCCTTATTGGGACGAGGTGGAAGCCCTCTGTGGAAATCGTATGACATAAAAGGTCTCCATTAATGAGCCACATTTGTGTTACGGTCTGTGTAAGGCCAAGAAAAGAATCTGGCGTACGTAAAAACTCCAAAACTGATTCCAGTATTCATCGTTTAAAGTTGTATTGTGGAGCAGTTTGCTGTCAAACACTGCCGTTCTTTTTTTCTTTTTTATTATGTTTCATTGCTGATTTTGATGCCAAAATGTTGAAGGGTGGTCTGAAATGTTGCCCCATAATACTTCATCATTTTTTGCATTGTGATGGAGTTAAATCCAATTTTAACTCCCCTTTTAGTTCTATGTTACTTCATCTCCCTCACTCAGTCCTGTGACCCCTAACCCTAAAGCCTCCCTATGCTCAGAGGGCTGCTGCTAATTTTGTCTGTCTGTCATTCCAGGCCGTTCCTCTAAGCATATCTAATACTGCTGCTCCTTCTGGACTCCTTGGTTTCAGATGCCCTGGATACCTATTAACACAGTTTTTCAGTGAACATGACTGACAACATTCTTTTCATAAATCTGACCAAAATATTATGGTGCTCTAGCCTAAAGCTACAATTCAGAACCTTGCTGCCCTCCACATGTGGACTGCATCACTCATGGTGTAGCCTTGGTTCTTCTGACTAACTCAAAAGAACAACTTGAGCTTATATTAGAAAAGCTCATAGCCTTGACAAAATGGCAATATTTGACATTGTGAGGACAAAGACTGGAATGTTTTGCAGGGGATGATGACATTTTTCTTATTCTTTCTACTTACAATCGCTAAAAACTGGAAATGCAACTAAAGGAAGCAGAACCAAAACTGTGAAGATACTGGTTGCAAACCAAAACAAAGAAATAAAATAAAAATACTTCACATAGTAACACCGCAGACCCCTCCTTTATCCTCCTTAATCCGCTTTATTAATAATTTGAAGGTTTTAAAGAGGTACATTTCAAACTTATTGAGAAAAGCATCGAGGGGAATTTTAATAAGTGAACCATACATCTGGAAACAATGACTCTTGCCTATAGTCCATACAGCTTTAATTTTTAAATTCAAGCTGCCCCATTTTGTTCCACCCAGTATCCGTGATAGCAACAGGCTCTGCCGTTTAATGATAAGCTCTCATTCTGACCACCGCTGATGTCTTCATCCATTCGTATTCTTCCACATACGGTTATCTGAATGTCGGTGGTGAGACATGGAGGCAGCATATTCCTTTGGTCAGCCTCTCCCAATCAGCAGGCAACATTCTTAACCGCTCGGAAGGAGAGAGAAAAAGAAAACCAGCCACCTAAATATAGTCTGGCCTTGGGGCTCAGCAAGAGGCCCGGTCTGCATGAGGTCTTGCCACAAACACACATGCAGAGGTGCAAGGGTGTGGACCCTGATACCAACCAACATATGCAGGCAGACTTTTTCAGTCTGAACCCACCATATGAAGGAACAAGACTCACACGATCAATCTCACGAGCTTTGTAGTGTGCAGACAGTTCATTCAGGTAGACAACCTCAATAGATTAGAATAGAACAGTCTTCTCTTCGATAAACAGACCCACACAAAAGACACACTGGCTTGGACTGAAGGTCACTTGCATCAGCGGCCATCAGCTTTCTGCTGAGTGGAGGAGAAAATCCCCTGGTGGGAGGCATTGTGGTGGCAGCCATTTCACAAACAGCAACACGCAAGACTCACATCCTCAAAATCGTATAATTCACTTAAGCAGTTTTTCGCTTTCCGCCATTGTTGCATCCCAGACAGTCGAAGTCGTCAGGGCTGAAAGCGAAAATTGTTTCCCCCTTCAGCCGCGTTAGGCATGGAAAACATCTTTTACCCGAAAGCACGTGTTCATTTAAAGCCCCCACTGCTTGTAAACACGCTGCAGCCTGCAAGCCTCCAACCACATGATCAGAATGTTGTGCTCGACTTCGCAGAGTGTGCAGTTGGTGGAGATGTTGGCTTTGATTCAGGTTTCGTTCAGTTTTCTGAGAAATTGACAGGAAGAAGAAAAAGAGAGCACAGAACCTCAGCTGTTTCCTGTTATGCTGATGGGAAGATGTCATTTTCTAACAAGAAGCCACAGAGAGAGCTGAAGAGATACATGTGGGAGATAATGGAGGTGATTCAGGAGATGAGGGTAAGAATTAGCGATAAACACCCGAACGAATGTGGAATCTTTGTGGAAACGTTGGATATAAGAATGCCAAATGTTATACGAATGAATGAAAATAAAAGGATTTAGCAGGTAGTGAGCAAATAAAAAGGAGAAGGGGGCGAAAATAGACTTTGAGAGCAAGACAGCTGACAGGAAGCTCTGTGGCTCTTCTTCCCCATGAGCACAGCTGTGTGAGAATGCATGCACTTACGCACACACATACTCTTATTCAAACGGCTTCAAAACACCCACAGTCAAAACGCTACCATAAACAGCACCCACGTGATGGTTAAAACACAAAGGCGTAGCACGTACAGAACACACTGTACCCGGGCACAGAGAAAAGGGGAACTCAACTTACGCAGAAAGACACACACACACGCAAACATATTTGGCCTTAAAATTTTACCACAAGAACACCTAACGCAGCACATCTGAGTTTATCAAAAACGAGTGCAGATATGTAGTCTAAATATTTTTGTTTCTTACATTGGCACCCATGCAAAATACTTCTTTTCACACACTGATAAAAACACTATCAAAACCTTCCTCAATGACACTGGAGCCACTTCCCTGCCTACCCTGAAATAATCTCTATATTTTGATAAAGGACAGACCATCTGAGTTTTTGTTTTCTGTTGGTAATGTGGCCCCTCTAAGAGAAACAAATCTGCCTGAAAAAAATTTCCATCATTCAAAACAGCCATGACCTACATAAGACCAGCAGCTTAATGTGTAACTTTGACAGACTTAATTTCCTTCTGGGACTAATACGTTACTCATTACCACTGTAACCGCTCACCATGGAAGATAACACAAGCTGCTGAAACAGGACAAATTACATTCTTATATTTGGAAGACTTGTTTTCTAGTCCATGGCACTTTTCAGTGTGGAGTTGACTGTTCTGTGTATTACATTTTTTTTCTTTGTTCTTGTCAGTTATATATATATATGTCTCCCTGGGTTTGATGGTTGCAGCAAAACAGCATTCCCTCATTGGTCTACACAACCTTAAGTGAGACAAATATACAAAAGACAGTACTGACTTTGAAAAAATATTGACCATACAGAAATTCTAGAAAGCTTGTAGAGAAACAAGACAAAGCATGTGCTTTTAAACGCTAATTTGGATGATTATCATTGGTTAAAGCACAGTTAAAGCAATATGATTTTTCACATTCCATATTAAACTGTGACTGTGACCAAGAGGTGGTGGGAGTCACAGAAAAGGGGGCAGAACTTCATATATAGCTTAAGTGTGTGAAATTGCCCACATACCATTGTCCCATATTTAACTTCAAAGTTTCATAAGAGGCAGTGCAGAATAGGACACAGTGAGCAAGCTGACTAAGCAAAGGTTTAAAGCTCTACTCCAATCATTCAACATTTTTGCCAGAAAAATTCATTGTTCTACTGAAATGTTAGAGGTTATTAGACTATAAATCTTTCTTTATTAAGTCAGTGGTGATCTATGATTATGCCAAACCACCACAGCCTGTTTCTTGCTCGAAAATATCACAGTACTCGCCTCGCTCATTTACACAATGCTGTTTCATATTTAAAATATTGGAGTATCTGTATTTTGTCCTGTCAAATGTGTCTACCTGTTTAAAGGAGATTTTTTTCTTCCCTCTGCCTCGTCTCGCAACGACGAGACAGTCATATCAGAGAAACTGTGCAATGTCGGGCATGGTCCTCCACACACAGCTCCCAAAGTAGTCAGCAGGAGCTGGTGATGGATGTGGACAAAGCCGTGTTCTATTCTTCAATGAATGAAGTACTGACAGGGACATAGAGGCATGCTCCACTGCAGCTGTTGGGGTGCGGGGGCGGGTGTTGGTGGGCTGGTGGTATGTGTGACAACCCTTCAACTCACTTTTGGAACAGTTCTTTTAGAAATTTAGTGCAGGCTTGGCTGGAATGAGATGGACTGGTGCCCTGCATTCCAGGCTGGAGTACAGTCTGTTGGCCTACATGTGTGAGACGGGAGAGGCATGCTCAGTACTCACCCGGAGTGAGTCCAGCAGAGGAGGACGCCATCTTGCTGCTACTTGTAAATAAATGAGAGATGGGAGAAAATGAGAAAAGAACATGACGGAGATACACACAAGTGTGAAGACGCACACAGGCCCGGGCAGGTCCACGTCACGTGCACTCACACGCTGGGTCTAGCTGAAAAACAGGTTGGATCAGATCTCCACCTCAAATAGTCTAATGTAAGCATACACGCCAATAGCTTATTCACTGTGAGAAGGGCACTGCGCCTCTTCTTTACATGCTCACAAACATTCAGTGGTTGTGACTGTGCTTCACATTGCATTCTTCTTCTCTGCATCAGAGTAAACATGAGAGCTTAGGCGAATGCGTGGGCAGATGCATTCAACTCTTAATACTTCTCATGAGGAAAACATCTGGTGCCCTTCATGGCAATATATTCATGTCTTTTCTTATTTTATTTTCCTCAGCCACCCTATAAGGGTCTTTGTCCCTTTATTCATCCTCACCCTTTCCCCAAATCCGTTCTCTCTTGCAGCATGCCCCAGAGCTTCGTGCTCCTTGATGACTCTTAACCACAGTTGGATTGTTTTTGAATAGTGTTGCACACCGGTGGACAAAAACAACAGGGCTGCATTTCTGCGAATCCCCTCTGCACCGCCTGTAAAGAAAGTGCTGACATCTCCAAAAGGCACAGGTTCTTTGTCTTCCTATCTGTGCATTCTGGCATATTTAGTTTCTTTCACGTTGCTCAAGCAGCTGTGGTCTACATCCCACATCCAGCTGTCGCTCACTCTGTCAAAACAGACCAGACACAACATTTTTATTTTTTCAGACACCATTTTCTGGCACCAGCTAAGAAATGAAAATAAAAACGTTGTTCTATAAAGAGCCCTTTTTCCCACATGTCCACTGTTGCAGACGGCTCAATGGTTGGAGCAGTTGGTGTACCCTGTTTGTCTTCATTTACCACTCTAAATGTGTGAAAATGGAAACTGCAGAAGATAGTGGAACATTAAAAGAGTCTTTGACTGTGGCTGCATACGCTTGGCCCAGTTTTTGATTCCAGTAAATTAGTGGGTGGGTGGGAGAAAAGCCTCTGCTGTCTTTTAAGTATTAGCAAGCTGGATGTCAGATGGTGTCTAGAATGAGTGTGTGAGCCTGTGTGTGTTCTTTTATGTGTCTTATTAAGCCTCAATGGAGGCTGACATGTGTGCCTGAGCAACAGCAATAACATGTCTGTAGATATCTGTACATGTTTGCATTTCAAGAATCAAGATGACCCTCTTACTAGTTCAACAAACATTACACTATATGAAGTCTGTTGTGGTCATGAACTTAATGTTTGTATCATAGTTTCATGTGAAGTAAATTACTAACTGGATGATAGAATACAAGGTCTTCTTCTAAAAGAAGTCACTTGAATGAAATGACGAATGAGATGTGAGGCTAAAGAGCAACATTCTCCATCAACTGTGAAGCTTATTTGAAATTGGCTCAGAAGAACAATAGACACTGAGTTAATTTGCATTCTTTGAGCATTCCTTTATCTGCAAGTTTCCACCGAGGCTGCCAAAACTCTTATTGAATCTTCAGATTTAAAGTTTGCCCCAAATATTTCCTCTAAGATAACTCAAACAACAGAAGTATCAAATGGATGGTTGACCCTGATCTGAGAGAATTCAAAGCCTGAAAGCAAGAGAGAGAAGTATCAAAGGCAATAATGTTTCCCATAAGATGTTTGCAAAAGTGGACAGCAAACAGGATCTTTTGTGTTTTTTGTGGAGCTTTCCACATCAGTGTCTGTAATTTTGTCCAAAAGAAACTTCAATTTCATCCCCTAAAGAGCCTAATTGGCACGATGTGTTTTCTTCTTCTATATCACCATATCACATTAATCTTAAATTATTTCTGAGCTGTCTTTAGAAACCCTTAAACAAAGAAATTGGTAAATATTCTTCTTTTGAAATGGACAAAATGGAGGAATAGAAAAAAATATTATGAACCAGATGATCAACTTCCTTTTCTACCCCCCCATACCAATCTTTAACAAAAACAAACAAAAAAACAGTCCATGGAGAGTTCGCCCAAAGCTGATCAGGTTGCTTTGTCAAACTCGTTTTTTTTTTTATTGTTATGGTGACAACTGTTTTCATCCCATCTCCATTCGGGTTGTTACTTTGTGCTCGAGATGACTCATGTATGTTATGTTTTATCAGAACAGACAGAAATAAATGACATGCCAAAGATTTAATTGGATCTCTGAATGAGATATAAAAATTAACTTTGCTTGTTTGCTAGTTTATACATTGCTCTACTTTCTTCCTACTTAGTAGGAAGTGACACAAAACCTTAAAGTAGGATGATTTCTCTAGTCAATCAGATCCCTGAAAGACAGGTGGGTAACAATAACATGAGGACCGCTGTTTTGTGTTTTCTCCTGAAACAGTCTTCCACTCTTTAATGGATATTACACAGCACCTGCCTGACAACAGGAAACACTGTGGTGTCAGGATGCAGATGAGATGCAGTTGTGTTTGCCTGCAGTTGTGCTTGTCTCTCAGGAACAGCAGCATCGTGACTGCGAGCATGTTTGTCTGCAAACATTTAATGCCCTGCAAATATCACAATGGTCCTCTGTGAGTGAAAGAGTGCTTATGTGCATGTGCAAAATGTCACATGTAAGTTTGTGTGTGTGTGTAAATCTGTTTCTCCTGGCATTTTCTTTCATTTTTCATCTTGAAAGAAAATTTGCTCATTTCAGCTGAGGTTTTAATTTGTTTTTTCTCAAACAGGAGGCCAGACATGGCTCTTGCCATCAACAAAACCTTCTCTGAAGAAAGCCCTAAACCCTTCGGTCCCGCATCGCCACACTCCACCAAGGATGCCTTTGATGCCATCCAAAACTATTTTCATCTTTCCTCTGTGAGCCCGAGCCATGTTTATGAGTTATCCATACATTCTCCACGGATAGTTGCACTTGTGTGCCAGACATGAACATGTGTGTGCAACAAAAAAAATATTTCTCTGCTCCAACATTGGCTTTGAAAGGAACACTCAAATCTGTTTTTGCTATGATATCTTCAAACCTCAGCAGGGTAAAACATCAGAGAAATGACTGGTACGAGGTTAAAATCAATTACAAATTGCTGCTCTGTGTTTTTAATACTCAGCATTTCATACATAATGTCTAACAGCTGATTTCTAAATGATCACCGCAGTTACAGCCTCTCAGCATCAATTAAGCTCATAGCAGCGTTCATCAGATTATTCGAGGTTATGCACCAGTGACAGCAGATGCCATCATTCTGTGTTAAGTGTATACTCTGTCTAAAAGCAAGCCACTGTGCATGTGAACAATGCCACCAGTTGCTGTGGGTCGTATCTTGGTTTTCGGCCAGCATACGGGGAGGGAGAGCGCACCCCACAAAAGAGGGTGTGAGTGGTAGGGAGGGGGTGAAGCCGGGGGGGAGGAGACGGTGAGGCCGGGGGTGGTAAGGAGAGATAAAGCTGGACAGATGGAGCAGACAATGAAGCGCAGACAGCCATCCTGCACGTCAACAACAACCCCCACCCGCCTGCACACTTTAGCTTCCTCTTCCCCCTGCCCATTCTACAGAAGGCTCTCAACATTCTTGCTTTTGTTTCTCTCCCGACCAACTCTTGTCCACTAGGGTTTTTCAGCTATGCTTTCTTTTTTGTTCAATAGTGTACACTGGGTATTCTCCAATCTCCTGGCTCTCCGTGCCTCGTGTTTACTCGTGGGCCCTTTACCTTTCCTTCTCTGTTTACTCATTCTTATGTCATCTGCTAAGAAAACACCGGGATACTGTGGCAGAGAGGGGGGAAAAAGAGAGTGAAGATAATATTGATGGTAGGGGGCTGGCATGGCTGTCACCTGTTGTCCTGGAACCTCCAAGCTGATACCATCTCCTATTTCTCCTGTTTCCACAAACATTGTCAGCTGTTGGACTCATCCAGCTCTCAGTCTCCTTCCATTCTTCTCTCATCTAACCCTCTCAGACTGCCTGCTTTTATTAGTTGTTCTCCATTTAGGCCACAAGAAACATATGTGAACGTGTAGTCATCTAAGATAATGCTTTGGGAAAACTTTTAATAAAAAAGGTGGCTTTGTACTAAAGTGTCCTGCCTCATCTTTGAAAATGTAACTTTTGGAGATGACATGGTGAGATGGCCAGCCTGGGGTGTTCACTTTATTATATCAAATGAATAGACGCTGATCCCAGGACAGGGCCTCTTGAGCATATCACTGTAAATCTGAGTGTGACCTGGCAGAGGAAAGTTAAGAAAAAAACTATTTTACTGCATTAGAAATGTCCCCACAAAGATAGAGGAAGCGAAACAAATGTGGAAATCAATCAGAGAAAAAAAATCATACCAAAGACACTCTTTCCAATTGCAGAACAGAAATCAACATTTCTGTTTCTGGAAACCGCCGATACAGCTTTTTTCATCACAACGTTAGATGTACACAAAAACAACTTGAAAAAACAGATACTGGGCCTGGTATCCTGAGAAATCTTCTTTTGTGAAACACTGAAACCACACATTAACTGCCAGAGTGGTTTTATGGTGACCGAGTTGCGAGGAGATGAAGGCCTCGGTCCTCTGTATATGAATCCATTCATTCATGGAGAGGTGACTCTAACCCTGTCATATTCCATTGCCAAAGATGTTTTTTTTGTCGCCATGAAAACTGATTTCATCCCACGCCTGCTGTTCTGGTGCAACTTCTCTGCCTAAGAGGTGACTCACGTCCAGTCATATCCTGGTGACGTTCATGGACAGGCCTTCCTCATATTGCACAGTATTGAAAAATACAAACGATATTTGCTTTAATCACTCGAATCAGAAGCAGCAATGCAGTTTTCTGTTCATACGTGTCTGCCGTGTGCATGCTGGTGGAAAACACATTTGTAGAAAGCAGATCACTAGACTCTGATGTAACTCTGCAAACACCTGTTGACCCAGTACAACCTCGCTCTATGTGTGAGCTGGTGGTTTAAGGAAGGTTACACATTATGCAACACCTGTGCCTTTTTATGTAATGGAAACGTTAGTTTGTGTGTTCGCTTAGCTTTGCCTTTGCCAGCATGCCTTGCCCTGGTGACCAGTTAAAGGATAATGTTGTGTATTCATGCACTCGCAGGAATCTTCAATATTTTCATGATATATTGAATCAGAAATGTAATTATTTTACCAACGAGCAAGTCTGTGGACAAACAAAGGTTAGAGGGTAATGCTGGCATAAAGGTTCTTCCTCTAGGTCTGATAGAAATCCGACTTTATCATTTTGAAAGGCCATTAATAAACATTGACTTAAATACACTTGAGAGAACCATGTCATAGGCCGTGTTTGGACATAGCACTGCCGTCATGGGCGTTTACCACACACTCCTGGTATCACTGTGTCAAGACTCCAAATAGATGGTGTCGGCTTGCCATATGAACCCCAGATATATAAAAAAAATCTATTTAAACCCCATACCCCAGTTGCCTTCATCGCCTCATAAACAAATTGTGGAACAGTTGTCCTTAAAATAGAAAAGAACCATTCACAATACTGTTCTTACAGGGAAAGGTCTGTCATTTACCAACAGCATAGCTATATATAGTTTTATTTTGTCAAAGTGTAATACATTGTAGAGCTAATAAATTATCAGTAAAGCCATCTGCTCCACTTCATGTGTGTTCCAGTTGTTGTTTCCCAACTTCAGGACATCGAGGACAATTCTAATTAAATTTCTTGAAGGCACCTCGGGGAAAAAATGCAATGACTACTGCAATAAAGATGAACGATACACTGGTTGAGTCAATAAGTTATATATTATGTGCTATAAGAGCACTGCAAATCAACTCTGACAACCAAGCAGGGCACTCCTTAGAATGAAAAAGCCTAGAGGACAAGCAAATACAGAGATAGTCCGCACATGCTTGAATGTGTATGTATTTGTTTGACCTAGGGGAGAAGCCTTCTGGACTTAAGTGAAGCCACGGTGACCTCACCCTGTGGTGAATGTTGGATTTAACAAACACACTTCAAATCCTCCATGTTCATTCTCAATAATCTGCAAGCTTCATGTTCTGTAATCAACTGTTAATGACAGTTCTGAAGAGATGTGTGTTCACTGCAGCAATGATTATGTGAGTAATTTAGGAGTGACACTCACTCCACGCTCAGTCTGTTTACCAAAGAATTACTTTGTAATCACAGATCACCTGTTGACCGCTCAATTTACAAAGCAGCGTTTACTTCCATCCCTGTGTTTTTCTTCCTTCTCCCAAATCCCAGGGTTATTATCTGTCATTACAGCCCAATTTCAGAGAAGAATTATGCATCAACGCGAGTACAGCAGCGATGAGGTGCAGTGATCCAGAAGCAAGCAGCCTAATTAGCCACTGAGGTCATGGAAACTGGCTTTCTTGTTGTTTATCTAGCAAAAGGAAGGAAAATGAGAGTAAATTGGTCTCCATCGTCTTCCTTTTTTCCAAAAAGAAATTTGCCTTTGGTAGTGCTGTGGGTCAATCACAAAGCTGTACTTTTCTGCTGTTCGCCCTGGAATAAAGGAAGTTAAATGTCTGTCTATTCTAGACGCCTCATGTCAGTTATCACCTCAGACACTGGGGAGAGGTCCAACCTGCCAACCATATGGGCTCAACTCACTAGAAATAAAAAAGAAAAATGCTTCAATTGACTCTACTTGTTTTACTGGTCTTGTCATGTCATTTGCCAGGTTTTTTTTTACACCGTTAAACCGTGTCTATCATGAGATGGGTATTCATTTTATTATGCCTTTGTATGAATAAAGACAGAATTGTCATATTAACAACACAAGTGGATGATGCTTGTTCCTGGTGTGTAGAGCTGCTTTGTCTCGGACTCCCAACACATAAGTGAATCATCCAATGGGGTCAAGGCAGATGTGACTGAACAGGTGGGCCTCATTTTTTTGACGTCGCAGTTAGAATCCAGATTTGTGTGCCTGTGTGTGTATGTGTCTCAGTGCTAATGTGACCTTGTCCTGTTCTAGCGAATGCGGGAAAACAGATTGGTGAAAAGAATTGGAGGAAGTGCACAATGCAGTCCCCACAGACACACGCAGAAAGACACGGTGTGAGAGGATTAAACATATGCCCAGTGCACCTCTCTTTGCAGGCTGAACACAAGCCATTCAAATCTCTGCATGCCCGTGACAACTTGAATCATCTCGCTTGTCAGTCAGGGACACAGAAATATGCACATGCAGGACACAGTGACAAATGTGAAGCATGGACTACAATTCCATCCATCCAGAGAAGGACACCACAGTGCCCATCATTCAAAGGCATCAGAAGAAGACAATTTTCATTGAGCTATGCAATTATTTACAAGGGACCATCCTCCTCTGTGTTCCTGTTAGGGAGCAGCTCCTCATACAAACGTGCTTGATGAAGAGGATGCCACCTGCAGCCTCCTGAGATCCAAACCATCCACCAATCACCTCTCAGATGATCTCTTCCCTGCAGTGGATGTTACTGGTTACACTGTTACAAATCGGCTCTGCAATAAATGTTTTGGAGACACTGGGTCAAATTCTTGCCTTATACGGTAAAAATCTGATTTAATATGAAATTTTCTGAATAAGCAGCATGTTCATCAGATAGACACTGTCCTCAAATCTGGCTGACAATGCTTATTAGCTTCAGTTTTTCTACTTTTTAGCATTTCAGCTTTGTTTCCATTACCAAAGTTTTAATTTTCATTTAAGACTTTTTCCCAGTTTACATGTTGCTTAGGAGGTGCCATTTTGAACCTTGAACTCAGCTGGACTGATCTCAAAGTTATTTAAAGAAAATGCTGACTCCACAGAGTGAAATGCTGTTGAGTTTCATATGACCATCACAGCTCAGTGAAAAATATGAGTTAGGAAAAAAAGAATAAAAAGATCAATACTAATTCAAGGAGGGAGACAAACTCTGGAAAGCACCCTCTGCTACTCGCCTACACACAAAAACATGCACTCCTGTGAACAAAAGAGTTATGCACGTTCACTTTCATCACCATGGATTCCCTGTTGTTGTTCTTCCAAAAGGCCTTGCCAAATAACCAAATCCTTGCCTTTCTTTGTAACCGTCGGCAACAGAACATACACTACTTGTTTGGTCGATATGTTTTGTAGGTCTCTTTTGTGTGTTGTATTAAAGAGTAGAGGGAGTGCAGAGGCAGGTGATGGGGGAGTTTGGTGAGGGCGGTGGGGTCTTTTCTCTGGGCAGCCTGAGCAGAGATGGAGGAACACATCTAAAACCTTGCCAGAGTGATGCCTAAAGCCAATGCTGTCTGTGTCTGAGTCTCATTCCTGGCTGATGTCCGCACCTGTCTTATATTCGTTGTGTTTTCGAATTTAGAGCTTCCCTCTCCTATCCTTTTATTGTG